GCTCGTGCTTGATCGGGACTGTGGTTCGCAAAATCAAACATGGGCGTGGATTTGGTCTTAGCAACAGCATATCTATTAATTCCTTTGAATGTCAAGATGAAGAGGTAGGATTTTAAGAGGAAGGGAGTGTAATGGAGGTGAGTATTTCTCAGAGCAGGTAGCGGCACAGGTGAAGTCTGGAAGGTTATTTTAAGGAAGAGAGATATAAAGATAGCAAAAAGGGATTTCTGTCAATGGGAAAAACCTCTTAGGCTCTTTTATGTATATGACTTGTGCAGTGACCTCAATCCCTCAAGAACTATGTCACAAACTGGACTTTCTTTTAGTTCTTTTGCAGAGTCGTTATAAATGAAACTTTTTTTTCACACTGTCTTAAAAAAGAAGTGTTCCTGTATAAAATTGTATCACATTCCTAAAGGCATGAGGTTTTTTGTTTTGTTTGGGTTTATTTTTCACCATCATACCTGTATTTCACATTGTTATGTAAAAAAGGTCTTTGTCGTCAATGAGTTCCTAAGTCTCAAGAGAAACTCTTGTCTAAATAATGGATAAAATAAGTAAATAAATTGTGTAGAGCCACTTATGTGCATCCTAAGTGTGTCACAAGACGTTTAAGGTGAGACTAAGAAACTATTTGAATCAAACTGAATGAAAATATCTTCTACTGATGTATTTGTTCTTAATTATCCATCAAGGAGGGTGAGCTGTATACATTTGCAGCTCCTCCAGAGTCACCATGGGCCTTTTCTGATTCTTATCTGCCTCTTTCATTTCCGAATGATGGTGTGATGTTCTCAGTTCACAGCTTACCTAACTCCAAATTTTACTTTGTGACCTGCCTGCTCATGGGATTTTATTTGTGGTAACAGTGTAGCAGGAGTTAAATATAAACACCCATCCACTTATTAAGACTTTGATTAGCAAGCAAAAATTAAAGCATTTAACATTTCCCTTCCACATTATGATTCTGCACTACTTTATATTAGTCATTTAAGCGGTCTAGCATATAGCCATTGATTTCAAAGTTATTTAGTCTCATTTTGTCAGTTTCTTATTTTTAAATTTATATAAATGTAAAAATATATATCTCAAATAACTCTCATTGACCAGACTGGTTGCTATCTAATATGTCTGCAGAGATTTCCTTTGTTTACAGTATTTGCTTCCAACTCCATTTATGTTTCAAACCCTTTGCTGGTTGTTCTTTATGATCCATTATTCGTTGTAATTATTTACATTCAGCATTACATTGCTTTGTCAATGGATTGTTTCTAAATAACCCTTTTTGGTTTTTAGTATCCACCTTTTCATGGGTTTTATTTTGCCTTACATTTTCTTTTACTGAGTCCTACCAGAGGTCTCCTCTGCAGGTTTTAGACATGCATGTGGCTTGATGGGTCCTGCCTTGCACCTGAAATGGCGTTCGGATCAAGGGAAAAACAATGCCTCCAGTGCTGCTCAGGCCATCTTCAGAGCTGTGAGTCCTATGTTTGATCAGTCTGTTCACAGAACCATCTGGTTAGGAAAACAGTATTGAGAATATCAATAAAAAAAAAAACCATGCTGAACCTACCCCTGGAAGACTTTAGGTGTCAGATGCTGATTTTTTGGGGAAAGGAGACGATGATAACAATTTTACTGAGCAGCAGGTATTCTTACCTCCTCTGATTCCCACAAGCCTGGCACAGGCTTGAACAACACCAGACTGGAGGTCAGCCAGAGCTTGTTTTAATGAGACTGAAGCCACACCAAAGGCTGCTGTACTTGTCGTCACTTCAGAGCAAACGTGCCACGTAGTCCATGTGATGAGAGCCAAAGTTGGCCCAAAACAGTCCTCTGCCTGTAATTACTCTTTGTTATCAGACTAATCTTTTTTTTTTTTATCCCTGAAACGGTTTTAGACATCTATACCTGTGTGTCTTAAATGCAGTCAGGGTTTGGTTTGATAGTGCTTAACAATGTACAATAAGACTCAAGTGGTTTTGTGTTGAGAAAAAACTGCTTTTCAACATCGCTGACTGATATCTAGTCTAGTTGAGCACATGAGGAAACAGCACAGGTGCAAAATGAAGGACATGGTTATGTCTACTTACCATGGCTGCACTCCCCTAACCTTCATCTTTACAGTAACTTTCAAAGCATTTACACCCCTTTGACTTTCCCATGTGTCATATTACATTCATGAAAAGTGATGACTTTGATTGGGATCTGATATGATAGATTAGTACAAGGTATGGAAAATACATGTCCTATAGTGTCTCATTTGCTTTAATCCATTTAATCAGTCCTCAATAAAATAGTCTCTAGACAGAAATCCACAGCTGTGTAATTTTATATAGCATCAACCAAGCCATCCCATGAAGGTCTCAGAGGTTTGCTAAAGAACTTAAAGTGAAACAAAAAAAAAAATAACATTCCTATGGAGATCAAAGTATATGGGTCAAAGAAAAAGTTGTTGAGAATTTTAGATCAAGGTTAGGTTATAAAAACGGTATTATGAGCTTTAAATATCTCACTGATTTAAATCCCTCGCTAGAAAATGGGAAGTTAAGAGCACATTTTAAGAAAACAACTTTCTGAAAATGGATTGGTCAATACAACAAAAAAATTGGTTGAGTTTCACCAATCTGGTTGGTAATTATGTGTCCAACCATTCTTTTTGTTAAAACAACTAATCTAATTTTGTAGTTTTTTTAACCAACCTATATTAGTAAAAGGACAAACCAATACAAATTGCTCACTTTGACCAAAATGTTGGTTTAGTGGTTTAGCAGCTTTAACATCCAAGGCCAGGACTCAACCCAACAAACCAGGGCTCAACCATAGGGCAAACTCCTAGGTCCAAAGCTGCTATAAAGGATAACATGTCCCCGTATTTAATACTACTTAATACTAATGTAAAAACCAAGGTTAAAACCAAGATTTGCATGCTGTACATGAACACATCCCTGTGATTGTTCTCTACCTCCATAACTATTACACACAGCACTTGACCACAGCCAAACAGTCAGATTAAATGATAAGTAACCATTTTATTGGTTGTTTTGCTAACCAATTAATTTGGTTGATCAAAAGCCATTGGGTTGGTCAGTTTCTGACCAGAATATAGGTTAATCTAACCAGCTTAACCAACTAGATTGGTTGTTTTTCCACCCAATCTAATCTTAGAGTGTACCAAGATATAGTGTTCAACTAAACTGACAGGCAAGGCAAGTAGAACATTATTCTGAGAAGCAGCAAATAAGTCAACAGTAACTCTGGAGGAATTGCAGATATTCATGCATTAGGTGGAAGAATCTATTAGCAGGACAACTGTTAATCATTCACTCCACAAATCCAACTTGTATGTAAAACAGAAACAAAAGAAAAAATGACATTAATTATGCTTACCACAAGCCATGTAGGGAAAACAGCAGCCATGCAAGTCACATAAAACCAATAAATCAAACTTTCTGGTTTCTCACTTAACAGTTAAAAACAAACACTGTATTCCCTGCAATCCCCACGCTAAAGCACGGTGATGGCAGCATCAGCATGAACATATCATCCATGCCTTTTTGCTGGATGTCAACCATAACATGAAGCTAGAACTGAACTGCTAGAATGACTGAGTTAAAGTATAGAATTAAATCAAAAAACCTATGGCAAGCTAATTATGTTTTATTTGTCTCTTGTGAACCTGACAGTGGCATGCCTCTGACCCACAGCCCTAAATGTGTACATTTTCTCAGATTCTTATTCCTAAACGGATTTGAACAATAAATGATTTTCCATCCACTTCACTATTGTGCTGCAGTGGCGGTTCTAGACCAAATGTACCAGGGGGCCAGGAGGGGGCCAGCATTGTTTTCATGGGGCGCAGAAAAGCATGCAATAAAAACAGGGCAAGGGATTCAAATATATTAAGAGAGCTGCATGAAGAAAATTTTTTTATTCAATTAGGTTTAATTAAATTTCTATGTCTTATTAGGTCAATATATATATTAATAATTTAGGAATTTTACATATTTTTGACTTAATTTAAGTAAAAATGACGTTTTCTGTCAAATCTGAATTAGAACTCAAGAAAAACTGATAAATTCAGCAGCAAAAATGACTTTTGTTTTTCGTATTTGTTTTGAAAAAAAACATTTAGCAGATGAAAACTGGGATTCTATTTCAATACCACTGAAGCTATCACCTTGTTGTTTTTAAATAATTAGTAAAACAGAATTTGTAAAAATAAATAAGTAAATACATTAAAAAAAGAAAAGAAAAGAAATAGATCCAAAGGACCTACCTATCAGTAACCATATCTATTCCAGAGCATATCCAGTATTATGTATTCGGTTTAGGGGCAATAATAGGTGCCAGGACATGAGCTAAATGGGCACTGGCCCCTGTTGGCCCCTGTCTAGAACCGCCCATGTTGTGCTCTATTATACAATGTTTGAATAAAGTGTGAAGGTAGCTTGTTTCATTCTAGGGTTAAAATTCAAGCCTTTACTGGTAGCCTAGGTCATGTTGCTATAGTGCGTAAAATGGCCAGAAAAAGTGCGCACTATGAGCGCAAATATCGAACTATTTCAGAATTCTATTAACTAGTCGATATTTGACGTGTATCAGAACAATAAAGTTAAATGAAATAAGATTACTGGGAATTTTCGAGACTTCTTATCTAAGAATACCTTCCAACGGTTTCTCTGCGCATCTTTGCGCATAATTTTTTGTTTACATTTTATTCTTATGGAATGCTGAATCCTGTCGTTTCACACCCAAAGCGACCTCACCGATTCACCGTACATGTTAAACGGCTTAATTATTGCAAGAGACGGATGCCAAGTCATCTAACGCAGGTATGCGCACTGCGCGTCCACGAAGCTCTCCATGCGGAGAGTTGCTCCGGCGCGCACACATGGAGAACTTCCACAGATTTCAGATCTGAGTCCAGCACTTTGCAAGTTTCTCCCTCTGCTGTGAAAAAGCTGGAAAGCGGGAAGCCTGGAGACGCTTTGGTTCATAATTGATGTTTTCCCATGGAGGAGGAGCCAGCTTCCTCCATGAAGGGGAGACTAACCGTAAGGTGGGAGAAATCCTTTTTTTTTCCAGATTTTTTTTTTTCTTTTTTCAGTGGGATAACATCAGGAGGGTTTGTCTAGGCGAGCCAATTAGGTCCCACCCCTGCTATAGATCGCTGCTATAATACAAAGCAGTAAAAGCGCTCAGCTCACACAAGCGACTGCAGTTTTAACCAGAGATCCCGTGGCTTTTAATTCTCTCACTACTTTTCTTTTTTTTTTTTATCCTCTTTCAATGTGCCCCGTTACTACCGTCAGACTGAGGCGCTCATTTCCGCACCTGCCGCGGTAAGACACTAAGAGAAGCGGGTGGAAAGAGGAAAAAAGAAGAAGAGAGGAGACAAGGACATCGGAGGCTTTGACAAAACAGCAGCAGCGGTTCCTCGTTTTTTCTTTCTTTTTTTTTTTTTTTTTTTTTTTTTTTTAGATCTTTTTCGTTTATGTTTAACATGCATCAGCGCTGGACCACAATCGCATCTGTGGCTCTCATCTGCTTGTCCTTGGTGTCCTACGCGGTGGGATGCGGACCGGGCAGGGGCTACGGCAGGAGGAGACACCCCAAGAAGCTGACACCTCTGGCGTACAAGCAGTTCATCCCCAACGTGGCGGAGAAGACCCTGGGGGCGAGCGGTAGATACGAGGGCAAGATCACACGGAACTCCGAGCGCTTTAAAGAGCTCACCCCCAATTATAACACAGACATCATCTTCAAGGATGAGGAGAACACAGGAGCAGACAGGATGATGACTCAGGTAAGCGCACAGAATGATTATATATATATTTTTTCATTTTCCTCCTCCACCATCAACGCGCACTGCAACAGCCTCGCTGTCAGACTGATTGCGCACGTTAGCTGAAGTCTGAACTCTTCACACTGAGCCTTTTAACTTCACTGTAAATGCAGATGCGCTCCGATGCACCAGCCTGGGACTTTCTCGTATAGAAATCCAGCTGGAGGAGTGATGTGCAGGCGGACAGTCAGGACACTCGGCCTTCATTATTGTGACAGTGGATTTGAAATATTAATGCGCACCCCACCACCCCACCTCTATCTCCTCATATCTATATTTGTATCCGAATGAGGCTCGATTTGAGAGCCCTGCAAAGCCCCATTCTTTGACTCCTTCGCTGCTTCTGGATGATGATGCGCTTCAGACATTTCTTGCACCTGGGTCGTGTGGTTTGTCTTTTGCGTAAGGCGCACAGGGGTGCAGCGAAAGATGTTGCATTTCTTAAAGGGTGGGGATCCATTGGACGTGCACCGGTTGAGCGTTTTTTTTTTAAATAACGGTAGATCTTATTGTGAGATTCGATTCCTATTTCCAGGTCTGCAAGATACCGCATCTCTCCATCCTCACTTTTATAATGCAGTGCCTGGTCAGTGATGAAAAAACAGGCTGCTTCGGGTTGATATCGGCTCAGGGAGAAGTGCGACGTCGGTGGTGATGGTGGCGACGATGGCGCACTGGAGTCCATGCATGGTGCCTTGCACCATGCACGAGCTCCGATGAAATATTCACTGCGTGCGTTCGTGTGCGCGGTCTCTGTCTTCTCCACACACACACACACACCTCTAGCTGTAAGTTTCCTAAAGATGGGGATTAGGAAATTACAGGCCTGGGAGGATGTGTTTTTTCCAGAACCGCATCAGGAGGATGAACTTCAGGGTTCTTTGCATCCTTTTTCAATAGCAATTGAAATTGTGCAGAAAGTTTGTCATTGTTTCTCTCACCACATCAGAAATCTAAGATGGAAATAGTTAAAATTATTGTATGTTTCTGCAGAATGATGCATTTTTTTTGTTGCAGTGCTTGAATATTTTTTCTGGAAAGTTCCATTGGTACACCTCACACATTAATCAGATAAGCTGTTTGGTACTTTTTAAAAGTTAAAGTAGCAATCCTGGTTGCCTTCTTTCCCCCATTTGCAGTACTTAAACCCATGCAACGTGCTAGTGGCTGCTGATAGTATAAGCCATGTGCATGGCAATTAGCCAGCGTTGTTTGCGCTGTCCAGTAGTTTTGCGCGCATTGATCCACATAACTTTACGCACGAGAGCGCACGTTATTTATTCTTAGTTATCATATTATTTAGAAAATAGATATCCTGCGTTAATCACACAGACAGTAGTTCGGATAGTTGTACTTTAGAATAAATAAATCAGTTCATTATAGTCCAGCCAGGACTACTGAATTACAAGCGCACAGTCGTCCAACTCATCCCCAGGAAAGTTAATAGCAGTTGCGTTTAGTCAGACACTTTAGGAGATAAACAAATAAAGTGATGCTGAAACTGTCACTGCGGCTTTACTGTTCAGTCTTAAAATAATACAAAAAGAATAATAACTTAGATCAACTATTTAAGGTATTTCTTTCTACTGGGCTCCTATTTGGTTTTCTGGTTCTTGGATTAAGTCGCCTTCAAAGTGGATATTGATGTAGTGTGAAACTCTCTGCTTGTGAGTTGGGAAAATAAATGCGCCCCCGGGCTTGTTTGCACTGACAGGTAGCTGATAAGTGTTTCCTCTAACCAAATCATTTGTGAAAAAAAGATTAAGAGGCGGGCTGCTGAACAACTCGCCCCTCTGGGGCGCAGGTTTGTAAGGCTCCCTGCTGGGCTTTGCTTGATGCATGGTGGTTGAGCAGAATTTGGCTTGATTTGCGGCACACGACCTGATGAATTAATAAACAGGGTTCAAGCTTTTACGGCTCTTGACTCGAACAATCCACACTTTTTGTGAGTTTTTCCCCCCCTCTAAACGTTTTTTTTTTTAGCACATTCTACAAGTGTGGTTCACTTATAAAATAGATTAAAGCTCAATTATGTGTGAAACCTCAAAAAACTTGAGTTTTCCATGAGGCTCTTCTGATATTTCACATGTCTGTCAGCAAATAACACCTCCACTTAAGGAGGCATGACACGTTTTCCAGGACTATGCAAGAGGGGAATAATGAAAGTTTCCCTCCGCCCTGTGTCTGAAAGGATTCTTTGTGATGTTTTATTTGACATACTGAGAATAGTTGTCCTGGTGAGGGCCAAATATCTTTACTGAGTGCACAGACACACATACACACACATTTTTAGGGAAGATGATCTGTATATCACCTCCAAAATCAACTGTTCATTTTAATTAAACAAATTGTGCATTTATGATGTTGTTCAGATGGCCCATTTTTGTAAAGAAAAAAAAGGGTGACTTTTTGTGCACCTTCCAGAGACCAAAGACCCATATGATATAGGGCCAGTGAAGCGAATGCAGTGCTTTATCCATATTTCATGAGCAGCTTTCTTACCCGAGCTGTGCCCTCTGACGCCACTGCTCACACTGAGAAATGCAAGCTCAGGATCTGAGCTGCAGTGTTTTAGCACAGCTGAGAGGATTTATGGATTCAGGTGGAGATGGAGAGGCTTCCCTGAGTCAAAATGCTCATCTTTCATTGCTATTGTTAACAAAAGTATCAGTCTTTGAAATTAGAGTGAAGGATTTGCATTTCATCGTATTTTAAATATCTGCAATAGGTCCAGATCATTTACCTAATTCCTGCTTTCCTTCAGAGATGCAAGGACAAACTGAACTCTCTGGCCATCTCTGTCATGAACCAATGGCCTGGGGTGAAGCTGCGGGTCACAGAGGGCTGGGACGAGGACGGACACCACTTCGATGAGTCCCTGCACTATGAGGGCAGGGCGGTGGACATCACCACCTCGGATAGAGACAAGAGCAAGTACGGCACCCTGTCCAGACTCGCTGTGGAAGCTGGATTCGACTGGGTCTACTATGAGTCGAAGGCCCACATCCACTGTTCTGTGAAAGCAGGTGAGCAGGGGAAAATCAACCAGTTTTTCAAACAGGTGGAGGCTTGTGATGATCATGATATAGCACAAAAAGAACAGCTTTTATCGAGCCCCTTTAGAGTGGTTTGTAAAAATGTAAATTATCAACAATCAATGTAATTTAGTGAAACTTGACTTTCCTCCAAATATAAAGCATCTTAGATTGTCTGCGCACTAGCGGTGGTGGTCAATTCACAGTTTGGCAATATTTAACATGAGAGCTGTGAGGTGTACACTGGCTGTAAGTAGAAATAAGCTAATGGATCCTCAAAAACAGCTGGGGCTCAGGAGGCTTTTATATACTTACCAGACTGCCTTGCAGAGGATAGTGAGGGGAGCTGCCAACATATTGTACTACTGATTAACTCTGGGTCTGTCAGAGAGTTGATCAGGTGCTGATCTAAAAGGTTTTCCAGAAGTGTGGAGGCTACTGTAAACCATAGGGTGGCTCATCTATCCTTACAAATGTAACAATGAAGTCCCCTGAAGTCAGAATTAATGTTTGGGAAAGTTAGAGGTTATCAACTTGCATAAGGCTGCTATATAAAGTAGTGAAATGTATAAACCATTCAGACATTCAGAATGGAGTATATAACTGTACAAGCTTTATATTTTGACTTCACAACAGATAAATAGAGAAATATGTTGCTATTGTCAGGTGAAGTCAACAGTAGTTAGCAAAACGACTTCCACAAAAGCTGGTTTTCTGTCCTGCGACTAAAATGTGCTCAACTTGGGTGTGACATCATTCCCAGGTCAAAGGTCTAACTTCTGACACAAATCAAATGCACAATTGAACTACATACCATATAAATATGATGGTGCAGTGGGGGTGGGGGGGACATGTATCAGAAAAGAGAAAAGGGGCTGCTTAAGCTGTATTGGTTATGGTATCGAAAAGGACATAAGATAAGAATATATGAAGCTGCAACTCATATATAGACATCATCTCTTCTCTTATCACTGTTTTTTTATGGGTCACGTAGCTCAGAGTGCAATTATGTCACTGGGTAACAAAGCAAAACAAAGGAATTGTGTCTGGTACAATTAAACTTGTTTTCCCATTGAGCTGTCCAGTCAGGGAAATATTACAGTTTTCAAGTAATCATGACTTTATTTGATCACCTTTAAAAATGTCGACTACCAATCTGCACTTTATTATTGTTCTACTCATATTTTTTCCAGGAAAAAAGTTTACGATCTAGGACATCTTTATTCATTTTCTAAAAAAATTTTTTTTCTAAATTTTAAGTTTTTGATTTTGACACCAGGACCACTTTATAAATAAGGCTACATAAGATTGCAGCATATGGATTTAAATCTCCTGCAATGACAACATTTGGAAATCTTGTGCTTGATTTATTGTACCTGTTGTTAAAAACAAAGGGTGAAAACAAAAGCAGCCTTTTATGCAAGAACCAACATAGTTTTTTTTTTACAGTTAGCCATCAGTTGAACCTCAGTGGGAAAAGAAAATCCTCCTATTTTCTATAGAGACCCTGCAGAGAATAGAGGAGGAAGCTGAAAAAAACCCCATGGAGTCAGAAAAAGGAAACCCAGTAGCCAATCCGGTACAACAGGGAGATTTAAAATAAATAAATAATTTATAGAGGTTTGCCTTTTTATATATTAGTACAATTGTGTCTAGTCAGTGGCCAGAAAAACCATAGGATGACTACTGCCCCGCTTCACCTTGGCCTATGTTGTTTCCTAGTAGGAAAAACCACTGCAGTCTCATCAAGGCTGCAGGCTTTAGTAAAGAGATGTAGAATCACAAGAAAAATAAGCAAAAAAATTGTAAATCATTAAATTATATCACAGATGCATCATAGAAAAACATTTTTTCTTCAGATCTCACTTTGGTTTATCAAAAGTTCTGCTTTTAATCTATCTTGGGGTAACATAGGCTTCGATTGCGTGATGCTCAGGTTGCCTCTCTACTAGCAGATTAACCGTTGCTCCTCTCTCTGGCCAAACGTTATTGATAAATCCCTTATTTCTCATTCCACTCACACTTTCTGAGATCACAGTATGCTCCTGGACGGCAAGTCATCAGGGGTCATGCGACTTTACAGAAGGGATTTGGCTGAACAATGTTGGCAAAATCTGGTTTGCAGTTGTCACCTCATTTCATGCTCGGGGACCTTAAAAGAAGATTAAAAGCCCCCAAATTCTAAGTAGGAAAACCACTCTTTTTTTTTTTTTCTTTCTGCATGATCCTTAAAACTGGTATGTGAAGAGCTCCACCAAGGCCAAAATTATTGTCATCAAGACTAACAACAAAGCAAGGAGAGGTGGTAGACAGGGTGGTGGTGAAGGGGGGGGCATGATGTTACACAACAGAAAGCATTTAAGAGTCCGGGGGCACTCATTTAAATTCAAATCTACAACTCAAGAGGCTTGGAAAAGTGGCTCCACTGGGTAAATAGTAGTTGTGAGTCGCCTATTTGTGTGAATTGTCACATGGAGGTTTCTGCACCTGAGTAAATATGGGGAGAGAAGCTGGGAAAAGCGTGAGTGTTCTTTACAGAGAGCAGCTTCATCCACGAAGCTGATTTAGAATAACAATGCTTTTTCTTTCTGGGGCTTTTTTTTTTTTTTAATTAAGGGTAGATGAGGCCTGGCTTTTAGGGTTTTACAATCCAATCCACATCGGACACCAAGGAGCATGCAAGGCATCAACATGCAAAATGCATACAGAGACACCAAGATGTGTGAAGGCTGAACAAAATTCAGGAGGAATTATCCCTAGAGGAGCTTTTGAAGGACATTTATTGTTTGACTATGTTTTCAAATTCATGAAAAAATGTAGTTTCATGCCAAGATACATTTGGCATAAGGGGGCCCAAAATATGTAAAAGAGCAAAAAAAAAACTTACTTATTTCATAGAGTTTATACCAAAACTTTAAGCTTCAGGTTATAGACAAAACCAACTCACAATGAGTATTTACGTGCATGCAGGACATCTAACATTTGTATGAAAACTTGATAAATCTCAGAAAAGAATGTGCTTAAGAGTTTTAACGATCGCTTTAAGAAAAGATTCATTTTCTGTTTTTGTTTTTTCCACAAACCAATTATGAGTGTGCAAAAGGGCCCAACAAGGTGTGTGAAAGCTCAATGACTTCAAGGGAAACGCCCTGGTTGGGAGATTTTTAATGATGGCTATAATAGGACTTCAAGCTTTCACTTTTTAAAGAATCATTCACGTTTCATATCAATCTAATAACCTAAACATCTGGCTTAAAGCAAGTAAAGATGCATTTGGGCCCATCAGGATATGCAAAAGGCTAAAAATATAA